TTTGTTCTTTAATGCTCTGTTATTTTGTTGTGAAGCACTTTGTGAGCCTTGTCTTGAAAGGTGCCACATAAATAAAATCTGACTTACTTACTTTTGTCATATGGTTGATCGATGGATCAGGTTTTTTGTTTTTTTTACAATATTGCACGTGTTAACATTTTTTATACGTAGGATTAAAATTAGTAAACAATACGGAAAAATTAAAATAAAGGCTGTGTAATTTTACTAAAGAATGATTCATCAGCTGTCAGAATTACACAGGGAGTGAATGATTTGTTGAGTTTGTTTGTTTCAGAGTCAGAGAGCCGTGTCTCTCTACAGTCAGAGGTTTTTCTACAGCGACTCAGTGAGTTTGTATCACTGTGGTGGACTTTTGGTGGAGGAACCAGACTGGATGTTGGATGCAAGTTTATACCTTTTGTTTGCTTCAATTGTTGACTGTTGGGTGAGAGAAAAACATCCAAACTTTATTTTGTTGTTTTTCCTGATATATCAAGGAGGCTGACAGAAATTTGCGTCTAAATTTATGTTTGAAATTTTTACCTACTTCCTGTCAATAAAACAGTTCCTTCAATGATTTTTTCTCAATGTTCTTCACAGTAACTTGTGGATAAACACAACTTTACTTGAATAAAAATTCTTCAAATAAAATTAAACAGACTAAACTTAAAGACATATTCAGATTAAAGTTAAATGTATAGTAAATATCTCTGTTTATCAAGTAAATAGTTTTAGTGATTAATTATTTTTCTAAACTCATGTAACACTTAAAATCATGTGTGTGTTGCATTTTTGTGACTTTGACACTGGTTTGTAAAATGTTGCACTTATTGCTTCTGTATGTGGTTTGGACATATTTCTGTGCTGAGAGGTTTCTTAAAGGGAAGTGAAACAATGTGTGAGTGACTGTTGGAGCAGAAAAACATCTGACAGAAACTACCTGTTACCCGTTCTCTAAGCTGATTGGTGTCTCCTAGGTGATGTCTGTCCCACCCTGACAGTGCTCGAGTAAGGAGCTGGAGCAGGGGAATGCCACACTCACATGTCTGGCCAACAAGGGCTTCTCCTCAGGCTGGAGTCTGTCCTGGATCGTTGACGGCCGCAGATGCAGCGGCATTGGTTGGGAAGTGAGCAGGAGCCCCGGGGCGCTGCAGACAGACAGGCTCTACAGCTGGAGCAGCACCCTGATGCTGCCTGCAGACCAGTGGGAGAAGGTGGGCTCTGTGACCTGTGAGGCCACGAGGGGCTCCGATACTCCACTCTCAACTTTCCCACATTCCCAAATAACATGCATAAATGTCCCTGGATCTGAGCTACATTTCCAGCATATATTATTGGGACTGATTCCCATTCTATAAAGTTTAGAAGGAGTGAAGTACCATGCATCTATTAATTTGTACTGAGTAAATTTACCCCTGGCCTCTCTTATATATTTATCAGAGAATGACAAAATTCTACACCAATCTTCTTTACAAATTACACGACTGAAATATCTCTGCCGCGCTCACGCTCACAGGTGCTCACACACACAAACTACACCCTTTTTGGCTCCTACCTCAAAGCACACTGTGCGCTGTCGATCTTACGTGCTGCACAATAATGTTTAATATTTAGTACTTACTGTTATATTCCCATAGATCATCACGATGATGTTGTTTATTATATAGCTCTCTCTTTTTGTGCTTGTTTTCTCTTTTTTCTCTCTCAACAGGTGATCCAGGTGATTGATAGATGTATTTTGTCTGTTTTGTTGGTTTTTGTTTTTTGCCCTTTATCACCGTTCCTCTTCCCCGCTGTTTTTCTTTCCCTACCTCTCTCTTTCTCCCTTTTCTTTCCCCCAGTCATGTCTGTCCCGTGTGCAGCAAGTGAAAATAAAATAAAATAAATAATAAAAACAAAGGTCAATCAAATGGACCAATACTGTAAGGCTGGGATGGTCCATTTGGTAAAGTGAATCCATTGGGCATCTTTCTTTGCCTTTAGACAATAATTCTGATGGCAAAAGAATCAAACGGGACAGGCGCAAAAAATATATATATATATATCTCTGCCATATAGTCCTCAAGTTTTCACATATCTCTGTTTTTAGATTGTTAGACATAAACACATAAGCATAATATCCTCTAATTTGGGGTTTAATAATATTCATAAATAATTCATACCTGAAGGTACATGCTTAAAATTGAATGCAGTAATGGATCTAGAGTGACATGATGCTGATAGTGGCGTGCCTTCCAATTTGTACCAATTTATCTTGTAACCTGACAACCTTGAAAATGACTCAACGCATGCGAGTAGCGCTGGTAGAGACTGGATGGGATCCGTTAATACTGCTAAGATGTCGTCAGCATATAGAAATAACTTGTGCTCCATACCCCCTGCGTGAATACCTCTGATACCCCTGTTAGCTCGAATAGCTAAGGCCAGTGGTTCCAGAAATATCATGAAGAGCAGCGGGGACAAAGAACACCCCTGCTGGGTCCTGCGAGTGAGATGGAAAAACTCTGACACCAATCCATTTGTCAAAACTGCTGCCCTTGGACTTGAATATACAGTTTTGACCCAGTTACAAAATCCAGGCCCAAACCTAAACCTTGCAAGGGTTGTCATAAGGAAGCCCCGTTCTACCCGGTCAAAAGCCTTCTCGACATCAAGCGAGAAGGCCGCAACCGGGGCTAGCTTGAAATAATAATAGAAGTCTTCTAATGTTATCACCTGAAGACCTATTCTTAATAAAACCAACCTGATCACCGTTGATGATATCTGGTAATATTTGATCTAAGTGGAAGGCCAAAACCTTTGTCAAAATTTTGCAATCAACTCCTAAAAGGCTTACTGGCTGGTAATTTGCTGGGTCTGATACAAGGGCGTAGATTTGGCATGGATGGAAGGGACATGTCCCCACCAATATCCAGCGATTATTGAATTGTCCCCACCAATAATTTGATCTCTTCGAGTAAAGAAAAACAAACCCGATAGAAAGAATGTAATGTTGTTACGTATGTTGCTAAATAGACTTTGATGAACAGGTATTACAAAGGGGTTATATATAAAATGAAAAAAATACCTGTTTCTCAAGTATATTTGTAACCGTGTTATTGTACTTACATTATAATCATCAGCTTCCTTTTGTCCACTTAAATTATGTTTACAGAACTATTTTTGCATTTACTGCAATTTCAGCATCTTGGCCAGATTACTCTTAAAAGAGACATTTTTAAAGTCAACAAGAATTTTTTGAACTGCATAAATAAAGGTTACATAAAAGTCACTGCCAAAAGCTGAATGCAGCTTCTACCTTGTTACAGGAATGTTGTTTGTTGCTAAAGATGACTTGATATCATTCATGAGGGATACATTTGACTTATGTTTCACATATTATAGACCAACAAGTTATTTATAGCAGTTTAAATACAAGCAATCACTTTTTGGCAAATACCAGAAGTCAGTTTTTGGCAGACAGTTACTTCTAGACACAACACCGGGTCCTCAGGTGGACGCAGTCTTTGAATTTGGACACCCCCGGCCTGTTTCCAGACAGACAATAATAGTGGTGACATTTAACTTTAACGAGAGGAGAAGGCATGTGTTTGGCTCCTTCACATAGTGGACATTGAGTTGTTGTGTGGGGAACCAGTAGTCCATGTCTGTTGCTGTAACAGTAGTTCATGTTTAGAAAATCCCAGCTCACTGATTTGATCGGGGCAATAGTGCCTAAAACGTTGCATTATTTTGCTGAGAGATCTTTTACTTTGCGATAATCTTAGATGAGTAGTTTTATGGACAAAAACCAGCAGGTCATTCAGTGTTCCCTTAGTGCTGTTGTGGAAGTTTCCCATTAAATAAAGCCTGCAGACGAGCGGTGAGCGGTAGCTAACATTCTATAATCCAAACACACAAAGAACACACAACCAAGTTTGATGAAGTCCCTGCATGACCACGGGGCAGACGGTCAGCAGAGTCTCCCTGAGCCCAGCATGGCTCTCAGTTAAATACCTTCTCCAGGAACAAAAGGCAGTACACAGCTGTTTCGCACCTTAAGGTTCACACTCCCTTGCTGCCTCCCAAAGAGACAAAAGATTCTTCCTGTGGAGTGTCTGCTTCCCCCAACTTCCTTACTAGACCCCCACCATTTGTCTTACTGTATGAGTGTGAGACTTGTTAAAATCTAGTGGCGCCAAGGCATCATACAATAAAATAATGTGATTAATACATAAGTAAAAGAAATTCCTATACAGTGCTAATGTATAAGAGACGTTATATGGCTGAAATAACTAAAGTCTAAAATACTTAGTCATTTGTTTAATAGTAATTTAACATTATATAATTCACATATAAAACTATGAATTGTAATTTTAAATGGTTTAAAAGCATGCAGAATAGGATATGTAGGCAAGTATATTTCTCCTTTTTTTATGAAGAAGCAAAGACAAAAAGGAGAAAAAAAGAAACGGGGCAGAGTTCGGTGGTTGAATCATTCGTCCCCACCAATGCCAAAACCAAAACTCTGCCCTTGCTCTGATATATCCCTATCCTTTTTAGGAATAAGAGAGATTAGTGCATCATTAAATGTACTCGGTAAGGAGCTTATTTTTAGTGCCTCAAGGTAAACTTTATGCAAAACTGGAGCTAAAATATCAATATATTTCTTATAGTACTCAATCGGGAAGCCATCCAAGCCTGGCGATTTCCCATTTTTCATTGATGAGATGGCAGCTCTGAGCTCTTCTTCAGTTATAGGCACATCCAGTCTTGTTCTTTGTTCATTTTGTTATATTTTTGTTCAAATACTAAGAAATGACAAAAGAAGATTATTTCATGGAAGAAGATACATCTATCCTGTGTCCCTTGGAATATTCCACACTGTTCTGTAGATACTGCTGCTTATGTGCTGTTCTTCTTCCACCTCTGCCTTTATCTTCAGTGAACTGTATCAGTCTCTGCAGTATCTTCCAGCTGCAGCAGTCACTTCAGTTTCTGTTCAGTCTGACTGAGGGAGGTTTTTGTACGACTGTTTTTCACTGTGTGAACACCCACTGACTGTTAGGATAGTGCTGACTCTGACAGTAATAAACTGCTGCATCTTCAGCCTGGACTCCACTGATGGTCAGAGTGAAGTCAGAGTTTGATCCACTGCCTGTAAAACGAGCTGGAATCCCTGATTGTTGACTGCTAGCATACTTAATGAGCAGTTTGGGAACTCCTCCATCTTTCTGTTGGTACCAGGATAAAAGATGAGAACTTCCAGAAACATAAACATCCTGACTGGTCGTACACTTGATGCTCACAGTTGCTCCCACAGCAGAGCTCACTGCTCCAGGCTGAGTCACTGTGATCTGTCCTCTGGACTCTGAGGACACAGAGACAAAAACATAAAGCAGCTTCATGGTTTTGTGGGCTTCATTTCAGAGGGACAGATGTTGATAGAGGAGAGGAGTTTGATTCTCTGGACTTTACCTGTGAAGCAGCAGCAGAGGAGAGTCCAGATGAGGACGCAGATCAAAGTCATGTTTTTGATGAGGAGGATTTCTGTGGCTTCTGTTGTGATGAAGGACAGCTGTCAGTCATCCAGTGTTCAACTCTCAGGACTATAAACTCTCCCAGAGCACTGGAGCATGGTGCTGCTGATGCAAAGTGCCTCTCTATGGAAATCATCTGACTGACACAATGAAATCCTTTGTGCTTTTTCTGTCTGAATTAATGATGTCTTTTCTGTTTTTGCTTAGTTTCCTATTAATTGATATTAAAAATTACTCAAAATTTAATTTGCAGTTTATGGATTACAGTTACAGTTAATGTGTAACCTGCCCCTTACCCTGGGGCACCTGGGTAAAGCTCCAGCCTCTCCAGAATCCTGTCAGATAAGATCACAGATTGAAATAGAAAGTGTGACATCATCAATATTTTTATAACTTTCATTTGATGCTTTTTTTTATATATAAATTTGTTGTCCCAACAGCTAATTTAGGAAATTATATAGGTGACTCATAACTGAATGATCAGTCATTCAGTGTTTAACAGAACGGCTTATTCATTTATTAATGTCAATAGTAAATGATCAACTGTAATGAATATTATCCGTAGTGTCCATCTTAACACAAGGTCACTCTTCTGAAAAGAAAAACAAATCATCATCAAGAGAACTAAAACCATGAATAACAATAATCAAGAAATATAAATTAAACACAGAACACTTGGTCACAGACCAATGAAAGCTATTTTGATTGAAAACATATTATGTTGTTTAATTTATAATGACGCAGAGTTGGTAAAAGAGGAAGAATTTATAGATTATCTGGGATGAAGAATAATTGAGTTCTTTAAAATAAATAACACAAAAACATCTGCCTTCATTGAATGAAAGCATTGAATTAATACAAATATTTATATTTTTATTGAGATGTTGAAAACAGAAAAGCTTTTGGAGAATTTCACCAGCCATTTGTACAGTACTGCACTTAAAACAACACAGAAGAGCTACTGATTGAAGGTGTTAACTACAATTTCAAATGGAAACAGAGGATAGCTGGATTCTGAAATAAACACTGGATGCTGGGAAATGGTGCAAAGTAATTGAATGACTGTCTACTACAAACCATTTCATGGGGAAACAAAATTATCTTTGTAATTCATCTTGGAATAATGAGGAAACAAAGTATTTTGAGTTCAAGAGGTGAGCTTGCATGTATCACTATGAGGTCCAGGAAATCATCAATCAGCTGACAAACTAAATCAAACATAGAGAAAAAAACTTTATTACTGTCAAGTTACACTCAAGAACTGGAAGACTGGATTAGACTTTGCCAGTAAAACATTTAAAAGGTCAAAAACAGTTAAAAGATGAAGTTTTTTCAGCATGACTGGAAGAGAAAATTAAAAGGAGAAAAACTGATCTGATGCAAATCACAACATCTGTCAAAGATGGTGGAGACAAAGTTATGGCACTGATGGTTTTGGCTGTAAGTGTAGCTGGGCCACTGGTATTTACTGATAATGTTACTGCTGATAGAGGTAGCATGTCACAATCTGGGAGGTAGATCGTCTGGAGGAGGATTTGGACCCAAACGCAAGCACGGACGACAGCGTAGCTGTGAGCAAGTTTATTAACAATGAAAGGCAAAATATAAACCAGAGCAGAGCATTCGGTGGGCCTTGAAGGTCTGCACTTCAGTCACATCCTAGTTCTTTGAGTCAGATTCCACTGTGTTGGTGTACACAGTAAAACTGTGAAAATGTGTCCTTGTCCAAAAACTATATTTAAACTAATGTTGTACGATGTTATTATGATGGTATTTGAAGAAGTCATATCAGCTGAGTCATGGCTGCTGTGCAAACAGTGAATGATTTAGTTGAGTTTGTTTGTTTCAGAGTCAGAGAGCCGTGTCTCTCTACAGTCAGAGGTTTTTGTACGGCGCCTCAATGAGTTTGTATCACTGTGGTGGACTTTTGGTGGAGGAACCAGACTGGAATTTGGAAGTAAGTCGAACTTAAACCTCTTTTATTTTATCAGATTTCTTTCTTGTGGTTATCTTGACTTTTCTGTTCAGTGTGCCAGAAAACAAAAATCATTAAAATAGTTTTTAGATCAATTTTCATGAAGACACAAAGTTAGCTTCAGAATAAATGTTAAAATCAATATTAACAAATAATATAAAACATCAGAGTTGACTTGAGGATTATTGAGATATATATATGTCTGGTTAACTCTTGAGAGCTTTTGGTTTTAATTTAGTCTGTTAGAGTCAGAGAGCCGTGTCTCTACAGTCAGAGGTTTTTGTGCAGCGGCTCAGTGAGTTTGTATCACTGTGGTGGACTTTTGGTGGAGGAACCAGACTGGATGTTGGAAGTAAGATTATAATGTTTTTAAAGAAACTACATCGAGGTTTAAATGTTAGCTTTATAACAATGAAGTATTCATGTAGAGGTAATATTATAACCATTGTACACTGGAGGCTGACTCCATCAGCTTTAATTAGATTTTATGTCGACATTTCTGACATAAAGACGATGCATTGTGTAAATAATATAAACTGTCATCAGCCTGTGATTATTTTCTAGTTTGAAATCACAGTCACTGTTTCTAAGATGAATTAAATGTAACTGTCCTCAAGTTAAACAGAGTGAAGATAAAGATTTCTGGTCTTTTACTTAGTCAGTAAAAATGTAGAATTTGCTTAGAAATCATAAAAGCACTACAATAAATGACTGAAACTCACATGAGGTAAGTAGAAAACTTGTGTATTATACAGAACGGAGGTTTTTGAAGCTTAACATCTTGTATAATTGTTGCCATATCTGCTTATTTTATTTCCAGAAGTTAAAGATGGGCATTTGACAGTGTGCAGCACGTCTGGTGTTTCTGTTGTAGCAGATATCATTTCAAATGTCATTAAAATCATGTAAGCAGTAAAAAAAATAATCCACATCATTTAAGTAGTGCTATTAAGTTTCTTATCTCCAACAAGTGATGTGTTATAGATAACTGATGAATTTGAAGCTAAAATTGTTTTTGTAAATGTTTCCACATCTGCTTCTTTTATTTCCAGTGTAGTTTGAACATATTTCAGCTCAAACTGTGTGATGATTCTCTCTGTGCTGATATGCATGAGAGGTTTCTTAAAGGGAAGTGAAACAATGTGTGAGTGAATGACTGGTGGAGCAGAAAAAACACCTGACAGAAACTTCTTAATGGAGAAATTCAAATTGTGGTTCCTGTCCTCTAAGCTGATTGGTGTTTCCTAGGTGATGCCCGCCCCGCCCTGAAGGTGCTGGGTCCCTCCAGTGAGGAGCTGAAACAGGGGAAGGCCACGCTCATGTGTGTGGCCAACAAGGGCTTCCCCTCAGACTGGAGTCTGTCCTGGAAGGTGGATGGCAGTGGCAGCATCAGCTGGGAGGAGAGCAGGAGCCCCGTGGTGCAGGAGAACGACGGCCTCTACAGCTGGAGCAGCACCCTGAGGCTCCCTGCAGACCACTGGATGAAGGTGGGCTCTGTGACCTGTGAGGCCACCCAGGGCTCCCACACTCTAGTCTCAGAGCCACTGATGAGAGACCAGTGTCCCCAGTCCTGAACTATATGTGACTTTTGTGCTGGTCTTACTTTCACACTGCATTCTGTAGCTTTTTTTCCAATTTCTTCTCTCATTTTTCATTGCTTTGTTTAAAGTTTAAAGTTTGTTTAAAGTTTTAAAGAATAAAAAAAATCTACATTAAATAAGAATCGAGTGTTTGTCTTACTTTTGTGGTGATGTCAATATTAAACTCTAAATAATGATTTCCAGGATTCTTATTGGAAACCAGTGTGCTATCTGTAGTCAATATGAGTCGGTAGAATTAAGTCACTTTGAATACATGAAGTTAAGCGAAGTTTATGTTAAAGAATAAGTGCGAATGGGAATTGATAAGAACTTAGAGATTATGATTTTATTACTGAGAATATTGAGCGACACCGCCGTTATTCATGCAAAGTCATTGCATGCTGTTTAATGAATGTTTCAGCATGTTGTAGCTTGTTATATAAAGCAATTTGAGTTCTCAGGTGGAGTAGAAAAGCGCAATATAAGAATGAGTCAAATGATCAGTGTTGAGGTAGGTATCTTAAAGTATTCTATTATGCAGAGTACTTTTTTAAAGTAATGCAGTACATTATTTTGGTGTTTTTCTGTAAAATCACCTGAAACACACCATCTCATAACTATCATTTAACAATAAGAACTTATAGGCTACAGTCCCTCACGCCAATATAAATCCACTATCCATTCACTTAGCTTAACATCACCCTGGATTCTTGATTAGTTTAGCATTAGCATGCTGTCTGTGCAGAAGCTTGCAAGCAATTGAACTTGTGTTACCGGCATAATGTTTAGTTACTTTGTGCTTTAATAAGTACCTCTTAATATATGCTGCAGTGTTACAGTTAAATAATGGATCTATTGGTTCAAAACAATAGTGAGTAAACAGTGATCATGACTTACTTATATATATAGTAGGTGACTTATATATATGTATAGATTCTATATATTGTGCTATTCCTTACTTTTTGTGTTGTCTGCTTTTGTTACTGTTTGTACTGGAGCACTGTAACCAACATAACTGGTGCAGGAAACAGACTGTCATGGTCTGCGGAGGCAGACCGTGCGGAAATGTGTGTGGTGGACCCAGGTGCGAACACAGGCGAGGATGCAGGAGTGGATTTAAACAAAAGCGAGCCGTTTATTATGGCTGATGAAAGGAACAAAACAGAGTGAAGGCAGCATAAGAGTAACAGTTCAAACAGAAACCTAAACTGGACATAAACTAAGGAAAAGCTATGGCTGGAGATACGGAACACAGGGGTGGTAACACAGACGACGCGACACAGACTGTATGAAACACAGAGACTAAATACACATGAGGGGATCAGGGGAAGTGGAGACACATGAGGAAGCAGCTGACAAACATTAACCTAATGACAGGAGCAGTGAAGCTAAATACCAAGAACCAAGAACACACGACTCCTTCCAAAATAAAACAGGAAACATAATGAAACGCAGACATGACAACCAGAGCTTGACAACATAAGACACAGACATGAAACACATGAAGAGCAGGGAAGACTTAACATGGGTTGGAAACACGAGGGGGAATTAATAAGAACTAAAATCACCTAGACATGGTAACAAATGAACTTAGAAAACCTGAAGGGCTTAACATAAACTATAAACATCAAAATGAACTAAAACTCAAAACACTGGGTCATAAGACCCAGGACCGTGACACAGACTGGAATTTGAAATTACGTTTACACTGATTGTAAAAATTAAATATGCATAAGGGTGAATGTTAACATCACAAAGATGTTGTATTCATATAGTAATATGAATATTCCCAGTGGAAACTTACTAAACCAGGTTTGCATA